AAATACTGGACTTACAATATCTGTTCCATATCTTTAAAATATGAAAACGTTTGGTTGTCTTTCAATTGATTTATTACGTCAAGCTGAAAATTGCGGAAATCAAGGGAGACGTTGTGATCCTCTGCCACCCACTAAGATAAGAAAAGGTTATTACTATATCAGGAAAAGTAACTAAAAATTCACAATATTCTCAATATTTTACATCATTCATAGAAGCATCATTTATGCCAATATTGTTGATTGCATGTTTCCATGATAGAGTGGTTTTAAACTATAATTAGGAATCAAATTAATTAATAAAAAGAATAAAGATTTCTCTACTTAATAATTGATTTTGCATCCCAATACTGATTAATAATAACCTTATTGTTTCTTGATCCTTTTTCGTTCTTTATGATGAAAGGATTTTCATCATCGTCTTCGTGTATCCCTATTACTATATCCAACTTGTCATGGCCATTTGACTTTGAAGAGCAATTCAGATTAGAAACAAACTTATCACATCATATGGCTAACAAAACAAGAAAAAAATATATTACTGAACAGACCTCATTATGACCATCCAAAGAATTATTCCAACAGTTGGGAAGAGCAGGAGAAACTTCCTCATCTGAACCTGATGGTTCATCTTCTACATATCGTTCTGATGGATGGATCTATAATCCAAAAGATTTATTTTGTATATATAACAAATTTAAGAAGTCCTTTAATTTTACTCTAGGTTAAAGATACATACAGGCTTTTGTTTTTTGCTCCCTTTAGTTGGTATTTCTTCAACGTTTGATTGTTCACAATTCCTATAGGATCGTTTATTGCTTTGAATAGTATTGCCACTTCCAACTTGTACTCCATCACAGGAATAAAATCGATTTTCGGTATTATTTATTACCTCCGCAACGTTACGATGTTTCAATCTAGGTAAAGACTTCGTCCAAAAGTTATCTATACGACCCTCCTTTCTGGATTCAAGCTGTTACAGATATTGTAAATTACTCTACATGTTAATATATCAAAGTCCTAGGCTTGTCACAAGCTGGCTACAGCGGAGACGTAGTCCATAACCATGCGAAGACGTAGTTCCATGGGTAGCTGTAGCCAACAGCGGAGACGTAGTCCATAACCATGCGAAGACGTAGTTCCATGGGTAGCTGTAGTAGCGGAGACGTAGTCCATAACCATGCGAAGACGTAGTTCCATGGGTAGCTACTGAATGTGACAAACCTTCAATCACAGCTTATGAAATTATACTAACCTTGAGTTGATTTTCAAGACGTATCGCATTCTTTATTTCCACTTCTGTTCCATACTCTTTTATTTGCTGTATTTGTTTGTTGAAGCTTTCGCTTTGTCTAAACCCAAATTGTTATTTTTCCAGAATTCGTGATACTGGAGCGCATCCCAGTCATTGCACGGAATGTCCAGGAAATAGTCGAAGCCCGGTCCATAATCTTTAATATCAGACAACATAATGTAATGTTTTCACAGGTGAAAGATTCAGTTTTCAAGACTCTCCTTTTATACAGTTGTTATGAAAGAAACGCGTTGCTTGCCAACGCCAAGAGCCAACAAAAATTTTACGGACACATGACTACTGCAGTCAGGGAATTTACCAAATAAGGAAACGAGTTCTAGAATGATCTGCGTAAAAATCCTGAAATTTGATTGGCTGTTACACATATGTGATCGACATTCATTTCTTTTTTTTTTCGAATTTCATTGTGGCTTAGATACCATACGAATAGATAGTTAAAGAGTCCTAGTTTTCATAATCATTCTTAATTCTTTGGGATCAACTCTCTTTAAAAAAGTAAATGAGAACTGAAAATAAGGAATTTGCATTGAATTTTAATTAATTAAGGTAAAATAATTAGCATATTTTTTTTTTTAACTAAACCATTATTTTAAATATCTTTTTTTTAGTGTCTGCTTACCAAAATCCAATAGCAAGGGACCTTCCATGCATTTTCATGGATTTAGTTGAAAATTATAGTAAAATTGGATTAAAAACTTGTAAAACTAAAGAATCACAAGTTTGGCGACATGCTAGTAACCAAAAAACAGCTAAGCGATTTGCATCTTATCATGATTATCTTTCTAAAATTATTAACTTTCATTCTTCTTTAGAATCTTATTCAATTTGCGAAAGACACTATAATCAAACTATTGCTAAAAAGCAGTTTTATCAATCCCTTACAGAAAGATCAGAAGCAAATTTCATTGAGCAAACGGAAATAGCATTTACAGTATCTGATGTACGTTACCTATCATTAAGAAGAAGGACTAGCTTTAGAAGAAAGCAAAGCCCAGACCAAAGAATTCATTCCGTTCAAAAAAAGGATAATAGCATTAATTGTCATTATTCTGATCTAATGATTGAAATCGAAAAAACGAAAAGTCTTTTAGAACTTAGTCAATTAGAAAATCAACGGAACTTACAATTAATAATAGATCTTAACAATCAAATTGCACGAATGCAGCAGTATATGGAAAATCAAAGAAATGAAATAGAAGAATTAAAACAAAAATTATAAAGAGCTTATGATTATGCAGTTGAGTTTCAAAATTTATATGAAGAACAATATAAAAAGAATGATATTCTCATTGAGCAGAGATTTACGATTTGATAATCAACAAAAATGCATTGATGCAATTACTGAAATAGCAAATATAGAACGAGAGGCATTATTCAATGATATAGAATTATTGATCAAAGATAACAATAGGTTTTCGATAGAGAATCTTATGGTATATACTCCCTGTGAATGGCTTAATAAGCGTAACTGAATTATTGTTAAATTTATTGAAACGATGGTTCAAAATAATCAAGATACTGATAACTTAAGTCAGGAAAAGGTTTTTAAAACAGCTGTTGCAGTTGACACGATATATGGTGCATAGCATAAAAAATATGCATCAGAAGTTCATCTTGCTACCTCGGCTATTAAATACTCTATTGCATGATCAAAGACGATTATCGGTATTGATGATCACATTACAAATTCAGATAGTTATACACGATTTCTAAACTGGCTGAAAGAATTATTAAAGCACAAAGAACAATTGCCTAAAGATCTTTTATTTCTTGCGTTCGATAATGAGCAAAGGGCAAAAAAATTATCTTGATTGAGGATTCAATACAGTGATTTTTTATATCATCACCAGTTTTATTGCTTTTAATATGACATCACAAAATAGAATTCAATATACTAATTCACCTTGGTTATATTCTTCTTTAAATAGATTACAATATGAAGAACTTTTGGATATTAGCCCTCAAATGTAAGAAATTATTAACAATGAATTATATACTTACCTTTCTGATATTCTTAATCTATTATCTGAAGAAAAATTAATTTCTACTAATACTATCGATTCTCTTATAGTAACTACAACAACTAACATTACCTGTATGAAAGAATATCCTAATTGCCATCAACAAAGCATAGAAAATTGAAAACAGATATGTCCAGTATGCAAAATGTGATTGCCAACATTAGCCAAAATTCAGAAAGAAAAAGAAGTTGAAAATAATACAACCGATCAGTCAACAAAGCCGCCACATATTTTTAAACCTTATAATAAAAATAATGAATCAAGTGTTATATCTGTTACTAAGATAAGTATTATCTAACAACAAACTATTGATCAAGGAGTTAATATTCCTGGGATATATATTCCTGATCCAATTAATATTAATCCTAATTCAATCGCTAACATTGAAAAAGTTCTTCTCCATATAGAAACAATTTCTGGTATTAAAGATGGGACTCGTAAATAGCTAGCGGTAGCTTGTGATGGTGTTTTATATCATCATGTCACAAAGTTGAAGGAGAAGTTTTCTTGGTTAATTCTTATACCAGGACAATTATATGAGGAAATGAATATGCTTTAAGCATATGGGGCCTTTGCAATAAAAAGGGAGGAAATTCCAAAAAAATTAAAATTTTAGTTTATAAGCTAAAAATGTTTCAAATACTATAATTTGTTCAGATTTATTATTAACTCATTTTTTATTTTTTTTTGAGTTTCCTCCCTTTCTATTGCAAAGGCTCCATATGTTGAATTAAATTGGAAAATCGATTTGAAACAATTTGCAATATGTCAAGGTTATTGAACAGAAAATCAACTGGTTTATTTTAAAAAATGTATAGATCACCATAAGTTCTGTGATTCTATTTGTAATATATATCATCAAGCAATGGCACTGGAACTTATGTAACAATATGTGAAAAGTCATGCTAACCCTTCAATTGAAGGATATTTAGCTTGGGTCAAAGAATAGCAAGATCCACTTTATCAGCTAAAATATGAACAAATATTTGTTTATCTTCAGGCAATCATCAATTATCGAAAAGCCATAAAAATTAACAATTCATTTTTAAAAAGAGCTGTTAAAAGATCATTCTCTCCAATTTGGTCTGCAAGGCGTCATCCAATTTACCGCCTAATAAAGTTTCTAATGAAGTGCAATCAATGCGACTCCGCTCAGAAGTATATGAGATCATTGAAAAAAATAGTATTATATCTAGATCAGGCCTTTATGAACAACATCAAGGGTTAGATGCGATTATTGAAAAAGTAAACAAGGTCTTGAAATCTTTGATTTCTCTTGTCTCTCAATATCATCATTGGAAAATTGCAGCACAAAATTGTAAAAAATTTATTGAACTTAGAGATAATTTATTTAAACTAATCAGATATAATGATTCTATATTAGGACCAAGAACTCGACCAAAAGCAATAATGGAATGTTAAAGATTTCGTGTCAAACTGAGAGACCATGAATTCATTAATCCTATGAATACAAGAACTATTTGTCAAAGCCTAGGAGGGAATATGAATTGAACGCAAATTTAAATAATTTCACATATTTAGCAAAACAGGCTCGAAAAATTATATTACTGATGTATTTATTAATAAAAAACCATTTCCTTTTTTTAGGCCAATACCGATTACAAAACAAGAAGCAGATGCGCAAGAAAATGAAAAAAATATAACCAAGGCAGAAATTTTATTAAAGATTAAAACTCTTCTTGAACAACTTGGTAAAAATAATTGAAAAAAATATCCTGGATTAAGATTAAACAAGCGAGACGAATTATTAGATATATTGCAAGAGATAAAGCATTTATTCACTTCAGATAATGATTTTAATTCAGAATAACTTATATTTTATTTTTTTTTTATTTAGGTACTTTTTTCAACGATCATTTTCTTGATCTGCATTATATAAAATATCACGCCAAAGTTAGTAAAAATAGAATAACTTAGCTGTTTTCTAAAAAATTAGTATTTCAATTGAAATTTTACTTTATTTTTTTTCGTTTTTATATTTCATTTATTAATTTTTTGATATTATAATCACAGTGTTGTCTCAGTATAGCTCATGACAATATGATCTTTGTGACTCTGCAATTAACGCTTTGTAAACCACGATGATCAACAAAATAAAGCAAAATACAGAAATAGCACTTGTTGATCATTTCTAATTTTGGAGTGATCTGCAAATTTCTTTGAATTTCTAAAATATCAATCATTTGTAGATCATTGCTTTATTTATAATTCTAAATTTGGAAATATCTCTGACTGTACTGTGTAATAGCTTTGTAGCGTCTATACCAAATTTGTAATATTAGAAATTCGTTATTATTATTATGTAATATGGTAATATGATAATTTGATTACACAATTGAATTATCGAGTGTTCATAAGATAGACAAGGTAAACATACGTGTATACGCTCACGCTGCATAATTATCCTCTCTAATCTTATTTTTCAAAAAATAAATTCATTGTCAAGTTCTTATTGTAATTGCTGTAAAATCAGCTTTTTAGCGAATTCGTGAATACTCAGCATTTGTCCATCTCTTTTAAGTATTCTGTCTGCTCATCCTTTTCATTCTTTTTTTTCATTTAGGGAATAAGAACATAGTCAATGTGTTGTTTTTGGTAGCTTTTTCTAATTCATCGTCAATATCTTCTCCATCGTTTGCTAGTTTTTCTCTTTTATTCATCAATTTATTCTCTTTTTCCAATTGCATGAAAATATAAAAATTATTACAGTTTAACTTTTGTTTGAATTTGTTCATCAATTTTTGTGTATATTTCTTAACATCAATAACTGTATTAGTATATCTAGGTGACATTTTATTATGTAATTTAGCAACTACTTTACTTTTTTCAGCAATAACATTATCTTGATTAGGTTGTAAAGCTTTATTTATTTTTTCTGCTTGTTCAGGAATGGCTGGTATATAGGTATAACCCACATATTCATTGCCATAAAACACTTTATATTTAGGTAGAAATCAAGTATAGAAATGAGTTTTATTTTAACTTCCTAATTTCCCGACAGGTATAGCAAATCAGTAACCAGTAGACTTATATAACTTTTCTATTTTGTGAGCAACATCTTTCATGACTGACAACATGTTATCTCATTCTTGTTGGTTGAGTTCTCATGCAATGGTATAATGGCATTTACTGGTTAAAACACAATATGCTTTAGCATTAGGTCTAATGTCAGCATAAAAAAAGATACTTCCTCTTAGATCTGAAACTCATGACTTAAGTATTCCGTCTAGATGAGATTTAACCTATCACAGAGAATGCAATCTTTCTTTCAATCATAATATTATGGTTGGTTCATAGTAAAGTAATTTTACAAAAAAAAAAGGAAGATAATTATAAGTCTATCTTACATTTCTTCAAGTTTTTGTTTCTTTCTTGGTTCATTATAAACTAATATTAAGATTTATTTATTACTTATTATTTTTCATTCTTCCTGGTAAATTTCATAAGTAATTTTTTCTTGATCTGGAAAGTTGAGTATCATTGATTTTAAAAACATAAGACGCAATCTTTTCACCCTATTCTTTTTTGAGAATACTTCTAATAGTGCTGTAATTTTTTAGTTTCATGGTGGATTTAATATAAATTAGTTTCATATTAATATTTTATATAGGGATATTTCTATATTAATCCTATTATGGTTTATATTTCTCACATTCTGGTATGATAAAGGAAACATTAAAATTAATAAGTCTATAAGTTATAAATGAGTACTATTATTACTTTTCAAAACGTTATCAGTCACATTAGTCAATTTTACGCCACATCATAATCAGCCTCTCATTTATGTCACATAATCAAATGTTCACTTTCTCAGGTTTTATTATAGTCTGTCCCATTTATTATTATGTCACATAATAGAACGTTCACTTTGTCTGGTTTTGTTGCAGTCTGTCTCATATTACATAATTTAACATATATAAAAATTGGTTAAATATCAGGCTTTCTATATAAATGATATGTATCTGATTTATCAAAATATTATAAACACACTAAGTTATATTAAGATATCTGATATTTCTTTTAATATTCATCCTAAATTTACTTGATACTTACCTAAAATATGCTAACATGATAGTTTTATGAATAATTTCTGATCTGCATCAAGAATTAGTTAGAAATCATGTAAAATCATCAGATTTCTTTCAAACTAAATTTAATGAAAAAAAAGGCTATTAGGTGATCAATGGTTACCTGATAGCCATTCATTCACCCTGTACAAAATACAAGATAATTGTGACATGCCTGTGAGGCAAAACTAAAATAAATGATAAAATCATGATGTATTCGCAAGACCTGCAAGGTAATAAAATTTTCATTTTTTTTATTTCATTTATTTAATTTCATTTTTTTTTATATCATTCATTTAATTTCATTTTTTTTTTTGTATTGTATGTTTAATTTCATTTTTTCTTTTATTTTGTTTTCTTAATTTTATTTTTTGTTTTCATTTCATTTTCTTAATTTTATTTTTTCATTTCATTTTATTTTCCTAATTTCATTTTTTCATTTCGTTTTATTTTTCTAATTTCATTTTATAGTTTCTTTTCATTTATTTAATTTCATTTTTTCATCTTATCTTATTCACTTAATTTCATTTTATAATTTCATTTCAGTTTCTTAATTTTATTTTTTCGTCTTGTTTAGTTTTTATTTTATTTTATTTTATTTTATTTTATTTTTTTATTTTTATTTTTATTTTATTTTAAAAAAATGATAAATTAAATTTTTTTTTAAAAAAAATTTAAGTAAATTAATAAAACTGTCATATAATGATTAACAAATTGCATATTAAAATAAAATAACTAGAATTCACAAAATAATGTGAAAATATTTCTGAAAAAATTATATCATAGAAAATTATATTTGTGTAATAAAATTAGTAATTATCTACTATAACGAATAATTCATTAATACTATAATGAATTATTTATTATACATACTAAATAATTTATTATAATATTAACAAAGATCTTATAATAAGGTCTGATTGGTTAGATCAGCAACTTTTTTGTATCAAGGTATAACTATACACGCTTTAATTAAACTTTTTGAATTTATGAAAGGATCACTAGATTCTTTATATAAGCATTTTAGGTATTCTCTATGTTCAGAAACATTTGAAGGCATAATTAAAGATTAGATTATCATTATCAGAATTTTACTAAAGTTTAATTGGACCAACCTTATTAATTGACTAGATATAAATTTAACAGAATGTCAAGTTAAACTATTTAGCATAGACCTTATATTTAACAGATTATATCATTTTAAGCAAATAAGAAGGATGTTATTACTACTGAAGATGCAAATTTTTTAAATTTAGTAACAGTTATCTCAATTTTTTATAATTTGTTGGTAAAAATCTTATTGTAATTCTTGAACTAGTTACTACATATTATAATTTTTAATTTTTCTTTCATTCAGAAAAAGTCAATCATTCTATTGAGAAATTAAATAAACTATCTATACCTACTGGCCTTTCATATCATAGAGAATCAAATTTACTTTCTCACAAAGTTCGCATCTCAATCTTAAAAATTCTACCTCCTACAATTGATTGACTGATATTTACTAAATTATAAGAATTATTTGTAAAGGCAATTTTTTAACATATTACATTATAAGTTTTCTCAAATTGAACATTTAATTTTTAGCATTATAATGTGAAGTGAAAAAATAAAAAATACAAGTCTACTTTGTATGTTAATCATAAAAAAATAATTAGTAACACACTTGTGATTTTTTCAGCAGGCATAAATTATTCTAGGATAATTTTGATTATATATTAGCAACATGAGCATTATTCAGGCAATTTCAACCATTAAAGCATCATATACTTGACTAACGTAAATTACTTATAAGTCATATAATATTGTAATAGTAATTCTTTTTCATAATAATAACTGGCTATAAAAAATTTTAGAAAATATTCTGATGTTGATTAAATATTAAAGTATCAATTTATAAAGTACTATATTTATAAAGATAATCTACCTACATTAAATTTATTTTTTATCATATGTATGCATTGGTATTTACTATATTGCACTCAAAACACGTACATGATTTTTATGTATATTAAATGTGAAATTTTTTAAATAAATCCCTTGTAAAACTAAAGTAATAGTATTCTATTTATTTTTTAAAATTTGTGAATGAAGAAGGGATCTAACTATAGATAAAACTAAATACATAATAGCTGAAATCTTAACGCATAATTTGGAATATGTAATAAATAGTATTAGATTTGGATAATGTCTAATTTATATAATTAGACATTTGAACACTGTCTAAATAAACATATATCTAATTATTCAATTAAATAAAATCAGTTAATTAGACATTGTTAGATTTTATATATGTTCAAATAATCCAATTATACAATTGAACATATATTCAAATCTAATTAGATATTTAATTAGACAACGTGATTGACAATTTTTATATTGTGTAATAATGATAATTTTAATTTTTTTTGTTTCACATTATTTTTTTCATTTAAAATGCCACTATAAAAGCATTCCTATACTAAATATATTATTGTCTTAAATGAAAAAGCAAATAAATTTAATTATTTTACATTATATGATTATTGTAAAACTAAAATTACAAATATCAAAAGATTAGTAATTTCTCATTTAAAATCATGTAAAAAATTTGAAGAAAGGTACTCTGAAGTTGAAAGGGATAAATACTTTTTTTCTGAAAAATATGAAAAGAAAGATCAAATTAAGAGAGAATTTTCTTTAATTATGAAAAAGAATCTTCTATTTCCTCATTTTTCTTATCATATCATTCATTTGGTATAAATAATTTTTGTAAATTTTATCATTAATTAAATAATTTAATTCTTATTTATTAATCTTTAATCTTATATTTAGAATTTGAAGTTAATACTAAAGAATCTATTAATCTTTTAATAGAGAGATTAACTACTAAAAATAAAAAAATTATATATTATATGCCTAAACCAACTCCTCTTTCTAAACAAGAACAATTTCAATGGGAAGATTTAGTTTTGAATTTTACTGTAGATAATAAGTGATCATTTAGATAGGTTGAAAATCAATCAAGTCAAAAATATTAAGCTTTGCAAATTCTGGATTGAAGTTACCTAATTGAAAAGTATTCACAGGTCATATTTTGTGTTCAAATTCAAAAAATATTAAAAAAGCTTTAATTAGTACTACATAAAAGATAAACTTAGGATTATTATATGTTTTGATAGATGGTGAAATGTTAAAAAACAAGAAATTATGGGATCAGTTTTAATTACATCTGATAAATAAATTTTAGTATGGGAGGTGAAGATATAAGTAAAAATTGTGTTTAATGAAAGGAAATTAAAAAATTTACAATAAATTTTTTAAACAATTTAAATGAAAAAAATATCAAATATAATGCTATAATTACTAGTTCTGCTTTTTCAAACTAAGTTGCAAGGTATATTAATAATTAAATTATTTGTTATGTAATTTAAATTTATTAATAATTTTTTAGATATATATCAAATTAGCAGAACAAATAAAATATCTGATGTTATCAAAGAATGAAAAATATACACATTCTTAAGTTATTTAATACTTTCTTATATTTTTATTAAATTTTACATTTAATTTTATTTTTATCTATATCAATATAATAAAAATAGTAAAACTATATCAAAATTTTTAAAGATTTAAATATTTTACTAAATTTAAATAAATTTAAATAAGTAATCTTACTTGTAATTAGTGTATAAATTTATATATATAATATATATATATTAATTTATATTAATATAAAACATTCATAAATTATTATAAAATTGAATAATATTTATCTAAATTTTAATATAACTATTTATATAGCCTATAAGAACATTTAAAAGTTTGATTACTGAATTTGTATTCCTAAAAAATCCATTTTTCATTTTAATTGCAAAAGAATAATAAGTTTTTTTGGTAAAAGTTTATTAAAATAAAATTAGGAAAATATGATTTTTCTGATAAAATGATCATTATAATATCACCTTAATTTGTTATAAAGAAGGTGAAAAAAAACTTGTAAATTTATTAAACACTTATTTAAAGTTTAT